CATTGTCTGAACTAAACAAAATGGATGACAGAATCACTGTGCTTACAGAAGAGGAGTTTCTAATTAGCACATCAGGCTGTCAATGTGTGTACAAAGCTCTCTATTTGCAGAATATTGGAAAGTATTTTACAACAGGATAAAAACAGTATGTATGTTGTCCACTGATTTCCTTGACATTTTGTTTCTTAGAAAAATATTTTGATAAAAGAAAATAACTACTTACGCAACTACCAACCAGACACCTTGCATTTATGACTCTGAAAGTTTAGACTAAATATACTTTTATTTATAAACTGCTGTGCTTTTGTCAAAAATTCAAGATAAACAAAAACAGTGACTACAACCGGCCAGTTCAATAATGTGTACATAAACACCGAAAGAAAAAAAGGTCTTTTAGTGAAGCAAGTCCATTTACAACTTAAAAAACGGTTTTTTAAGATTTTTGTTTTATTCCCACCGTAGGGTGGGAAATGAAACCACCACGTAAAAGTACCTGGGGATTTGCAAGATGAACACTGTCAAATAAGTATGAAACTGATTATCAGTTAAAAAGTATAACAGTGTCTCTTTAAAAGTATAAGAAACTTAAAATATAATTAAACAATCCTTAGACACATATTCTGAAAGAAAACTTATTAAATCTACTTTTCCCATTCCACAGGGTAAAGTGGAACACAAGAGTCTTGACAAAGGTTAAAACTTGAAATAATAGCATTAAGGGGATGTCGACTATTCCCCATACCTTTAACCTCTTTGACAAAGAGTCTTCCTTACTGTATAAACACGCTCAGTTTGGAAACAACAGCCCCTCTCCCACACGATACGTTTCCTCTATCTTTTCATTCTTTTTTTTTTTTTTTAATGTTTTATTTATTTCTAGGAGAGAGAGAGAGACAGCGTGAGCAGGGGAGGGTCAAAGAGAGAGGGAGTCACAGACTGAAACAGGCTCCAGGCTCTGAGCTGGCAGTCAGCACAGAGCCCGACGCGGGGCTCGAACCCACGAACCGTGAGATCATGACCTAAGCGAAAGTCGGACGCTTAACCGACTAAGCCACCCAGGCGCCCCTATCTTTTCATTCTTAAATGAGCACGCTGGAAGAGTCACCTACCCACCAACGTTTCCACCTCCAAAAGAAAATCATTCTCCTCAAAGCACGGCCATCTGGCTTCTGCCCTGACCGCACTACTCACTGCAAGGCCACAGCCACGGGTGACCCGCACACGGCTTGAGCCCCAACCACCCCTCCGTCCTTGTCCGATGCGACATGGCAGCTTCGCAGGTCACTGCTGGACAGCTCCTCCTTGAACTTAACTCTCCCCCCAGCTCTGCATTCCCTCTGCCCAGCCAGTTTTTCTGCTCCTTCCTTTCCTGTCTCCTTAGCTAGATCCTCTTCTCTGCTTGCTCTTGCAGTGTAGACTCTCCCCTTTCCACTTTATCCTCTTTTCCTACACAGTTTCATCTACTACCACGGCTTCAACTGCTATCTGTAAACCAATGATTCCTAATTTTTATCTCCACCTCAGGCCTCTGCAGTGACTCCCAGAAACACACATCCATCTACCTGTCCATAAGATTTCTCAATTTGGATACGTCAGTGCACTTAAACATATCCAGAAAATCTCATGTATCTTTTCCCCCCATAACCAGCTGTTTCTTCTGAAATCCCCATCTTGGCTGATGGTATCACTATCAATTAACAAGACACCTGGATATGGTTCTCTCACTCATTTTTAACTACTCTGTCTGAAAGCGCCACCAATTCTGTCTCTCCAGTATTTAAACAATCTGTCCACTTTTCTCATTTCCCACATCTAAGTACCTCAGATTGGACCCGAGAGCATCTCTCACCTGGACTATTACAACGTCCCCTTTCATGGTCTTGCAGTTTTCATCTTAACCCCTTCCAATCAACCATCTATAATCATGCCAAAATCATCTTTCCAATACATAAATGTGGTTCTGCTTCTCCTAAGGCCTTCCACCACTTAACAAATTCATTACTCACTCACTTAAACAGATATTTATTGTATAATGTATAACAGACATGGTATTAGGCATGTCTGTATTATAGGGAATGAAAGCAATATTTAGAGAATACAGGGATCAAACAAATCCTCAAACTGTATGATTACGAGTTGTGACAAATGCAATGAAGGAAAATAGGTCACCAAGAGAATAAGAGGGGAGAATCACTTCAAATTAAAATGTCATACTATTTTTAAGAAAGAAATTTCTATCCTTTGGTAAGTAGAAGCTGCTGCAGGGAAAGGATTTTTGGTAAAGGGAAGCGCATACACAAGAGTCCTGAGAGGGGAAGGAGTGTAGAGTGTTAGAAGAACTAAAAGCAGACCTATTTGTCAAGAGCTTAAAAGGAGAGAAGGGTGGGGGCGCCTGGGTGGCTTAGTTGGTTAAGTGTCCGACTTTCGCTTAGGTCATGATCTCGCAGTTCGTGGGTTCGGGCCCCGCATCAGGCTCTGTGCTGACTGCCAGCTCAGATCCTGGAGCCTGCTTCAGATTCTGTGTCTCCCTCTCTNCCCTCAAAAAAAAAAAAAAAAATTAAAAAAAAAAAATTAAAAAAAAAAAAAAAAAAAAAAAGGAGAGAAGGGTGGCCGAGAGAAGTTTGGGGAGACAGGGTCCGGGTCATGTAGGGCTCTGTAAACCACAGTATGGACTTAGGGTGTTTGAAGGGCAAAGGGACACAATTAAAAACTTTTAGGCAGATGAAGGACATGGTTAGATTTATGTTTTTAAGTGTTCACTATGGCTGCTGGGGAAATAGGCTACAGCCTGAGTGGGTGCGAGGAACCCAGGTAAGAGGTTACTCTGTTAGTCCAGGTGAGAAAGACAGTAGCACCAAGTTTCTCTGAATATTCACAGAAGTTATTTTTAGGTAATAAAAGCCTGTAATGTAGAAGCCCCCAGTACTTTAAATGACGTAATCTGGGGCACTTGGGTGGCTCAGTCAGTTAAGTGTTCGACTCAATTTTGGGTCAGGTCATGATCTCACAGTTCATGAGATCAAGCCCCGTGTCCATGCTGACAGCATGGAGCCTGCTTGGGATTCTCTCTCCCTCTATCTGCCCCTTCCCCACTCCCACATTCTTTCTCTCTCTCAAAAATAAACAAACAAACAAACTTACTTAAAAAAAATAAAGAATGTAATCCTGCCAAACAAAAAGGCATGTGAAAAAAAGGTCAGGGTTTAATTCCTTTGGATATACTGTTCACCATTAGCACATTTCTACACAGAGGACTTATTACACAGTCTGAGACGATGCAACTTCTGCCAAAGCGACTCAATGTCTGCCCTTCTGTGAAACACCTGTACTTTCTGTCGGAAAGGCGCAGCATAGTTTACATGGCCAAAACAACAAAGGGCCTCTTGATTTACGCCTCAAGACTAGTCTACCTTTGTTAAGTGGCATCACCATTCACCAAGGCACCGATGCCAAAAATCTGAGAGTTATCCTTTATTCGTCTCTTTTTGCCACATTCCATATCACTTGTAAATTAAGTATCAATTTAAGTGAATAAAATATTCAATATAATCTATGGAAATTACTCTGTGATTAACAGAGTATGAATCTGGCCACAAACCCTCTGGTAGTGATATACTATTTGCATTCATATGTCCTTACAAAAAAGATTTTTGATTAGAGAGCAGTTTTAAACAGTAGTACAATATATTAGAACATGATGTCATAATTGTACTTTACCTTCAGGGAATTATTTCTCACTGTTAAATGCCTTTACAATAAATGCATATAGATGAAACATGCTTCACTTCTTAGTTCTCAAATCCATTTACCAACTCATTCACCATTCATGCAGTCTCAAGATAGAAACACCCACAGCAATAGTGGTCCTCTCCGATCCATAAAGAAGAATTTAAGATCAGAAGTAATTTGTTTTAAAATTAGCTTCTGATATGTCTCCAGGAAGACAGCTAAAATCAGATCTATTTCACACTAAACAGGTACTTCAGTAATGCTTCAGTTCCCAAATACTACTGGCAAATGAGTCAGCCTACATGTGTCAACTTCCAGCCAACCAATAGCTTCTGGCCTAGGGCTAAGTTATTTTTTCCCAAATTTTCTGAATCGTATTTATAAAATATATTAGATAGATGATCATCAGTCTTCTTAGAGAAAAGTGAATACTATCTAAGTTATCCTGGACACCTTCACACCAATGTTTTTACCATCTGCATCACAATACATTTAGAATAACCCAGGGGATTCTGAGGCGCAACAGTAAAGCTGCTTGCCCCGACTGTGAACGGCCTTTTTGTTTAGTTTTTATAGTCTTCTTCTTTCCATCCTTCTTTTCAGCTTTCCCTTCTTATAGTCAGAATGTCTTCCTCTACCTATCCATCTCTGTGCTGTACCTGATTGATGTGCTGATAATAAAGCTTGAAAGATAAGTAAGCTGTTTATCTCATTAGGCTATGCTCAGAGCTTTCAGGTTGATTTTATACCTCTCCTACTTCACATGTGCAAGTGCCAGCGGACATTGTTTACCCTACAGAATCAGCACAATTATATTCTTTGTAGTTAAAGTTATCAGTAGTCTGGCCACTGGATAAGTGACACATTACCATAGGCAGTTGGGAATACAGAATATTACTATGTTCAAATAACCTTTTCTAAGTCAGCCACTAGGTAATATGGTAACCTCACCCCACAATTCTACACAAGTTTATGATACCTAAGATTTTAAAGATGGACATAGCTTATATCCATTACAAAATTGTTATAAAAAGAGAATTTAAAGATGGCATCAGGGGCCAAAAGTAGGAATTAACTTAGTTTATGTAGAAAATAATTTGTACAGGCCAAGGAGGACCTCTGTGCACAATACCATGTAGGGTAATTCAGCCCACAGAATCCTGACTATAAGACCATAATCAAATGAAATGCTATGGAACAGTGAGAGCGAGCTTGGTTTATGCAATAGAACTACGGACGGACGGGCATAGCGCATCTCCTGCTGCACGCACCCTGTTGCTCGTCAAGTGACATGGATCCGAGCTGTTTGTTAACCACAGAAGAAGGAGAATCTGAAACAAAAATGAGATTTCAACTTAAAAGTAAGCAGCAGAAAACTGCACAGCAATGTCATGATCAACTCTAAGCTTAAGAAACAAATGTCTAAGGGCAGAGAATAGAGGTAAGTACTGTGGTATATTTCCCAAGCAGTGAGTAAGCGGCGCCATGTGCTTAAGATACGTTATTCCACGCAAGCATTTAGCAACACTAAGAATGAGTTGAGAAAACATTCTTCTACTTCCATGCATATACCTTTTATCAAATTCACTTAGCACAGGCACAAGGTACAAGGTAGATAAAATAGAACTAGGGTTATCTCCTTCACTAAACAGAAGACTCCTTCCCCTTCGAAAACCCCTTTCCCCTAAAAGATGGCTTTCATTCTGGACTGGAGGATTCAAAGCATGAAATGAGGTGCTCACTACTCTCTGCTGGATTCTGGGTGTTTGTACCTTGAGCTGAAGCAGGAGCTCAAGTGAAGATGTGAGACAAAGAAAATGGTTTGTAAGAGAAAAATTCAGTGAAGCAATTGCCATTACAGAAACCTAGATAATTTTAAAAACTCTAAGACATGTTGTGCATATTAAAACTGTAATCTATTGAAGACTTAGGTTTTTTTAGGGGCCTGGTGGGAAAAGGAAAAGAGAGGAAAGGAATAGGCTTAATAGTCTGGGCTTCATGCTTTCCACGCTGGCTTCAAATAGAACATTTAATTTTTCATCCTTTTGATGCACCGAGTTTCTGTGTAAGAATTTGTTCTATAAATGGGTTCTATTGTTGGGAAAAGGCAGCATGATAAAATGCAAAGAGCACTGGTTTGGAGTGAGTGAGTTTTGATTCTAAACCTGGTTGTGACAATAATTAGCTGTGTGACATTTTTAGATCTATGCTTCTCTCTTCCTGGCCATCCTAGGGACCCAGTAACTTAAGCAAGCCACCAGAGAACAGGAGGAGGTGGCTACTAAGTCCTGGCTTGGGTCCCAGTGGGGCTATAATATGCAGATAGTAAGCATAGCTCTCCCCAAAATGTAAGATTAATTCCTAGTTTCTAATATCCTGTGTTCCAGTTCTTAGCAAATATTAATAAAACAAAAACCTTGCACTTTTGGATCATCACCAGTTTCTATTCATAATGGCATTTTACTCCCCCCAAAGTAGATACAATATCTTGAGTTGAGAGTGTTCTTGATGGCTAAGAAAAGCTTTCCAGTATATCCTGATTGCTTCAATTTGTACATTTGAGTCTCAGTCTCGCCACTGGGACCGCTTCTACCAACTTAAAATTGTCAGCCTTCAGGTACCACCCGTTTGCTCAGAGACTTCTGTATTATTGGATTGTGATAACGCATGATCATCATCTGAATAATAGCTTTGGCTTATCCTTACTTATCACCTCTTCATCAGAACATTCAGTTCAACAAATCTGCACAACACAAAAAGAAAGAAGGAAAGACAGTATTTCAATCAGTTCCTGAATCTATCCATGCTTTGCTTTCCTTTCCAAGACTTCCTCTCATTTATCCATTTCAGGGTTCGATACGACATTCCTACCTATGTTGTTTTTCAAGAACAGATAAGATAGGTTTTTAGAGAAAACCAAAATTATATTCCTTAAGGTAAAGAAAAACTTAAACAAAAATTTGAAGTACGGTGAAGTAAGTTATTAGAAAATCCTCCTAGAAAATGTTTTATGAAATATTTTTTGTTATATTTGTGTTTGTTATAATTGTTAAATTATACATTTAATTGTGCTCTCATTTATAACTAAGAGCCCTCAGAAAACTATCAACTCTCCAGGTAATCTTTTTATCAAATATTTAACTTTTCCATAAATATTATGGAATGTACAAATCTTATGAAATAAAGAACATCTTATTTAATTTTGTAGTTAAAAATTTCAGAAAGAATATGTCTCTTAAAAAACTCATTAATGAAGGATCTAGAATGCTGTTATCTCCTCCAAATTATATGTTTTCAATCTTTTTAATGATTTAAAATATTTAAGAAGTTTATGTTAAAAGAGTATTAAATGAAAAGGGTTTCCTCACTGGTTTGATACTTGCCGCAATACTGTACATAGCTGGGGAATTATCTGTTGTTCCCTCCATCTTGAGAAACCAATCTTTAAGAAGAAACCCTTCTTGATCATTCCTTGTTCTATTTTCAATCTTGGGCACCATGCAGCTGTTTTTGGAAGGATTATTTTCCTGTCACATTAACATCTGAAGTGACATATTTTTATATCCCTAGATATGTAAATACTATAACTTCCAACTTAGAGAAGTATTTCCAAAGATTAACACGATAAAATCAGTTCAATGCTGATTGTGTCAGTTGTTTGCATATTCTACCCCATTTCCCTGTAAAAGAAATATCTTCCAGAAAGCACCTATTACATAATAAAAATCAGACTGGGGTGCCTGGGTGGCTCAGTTGGTTAAGCCTCTGACTCTTGGTTTTGGCTCAGGTTATGATCTCACGGTCTGTGGGTTTGAGCCCCACACCAGGCTCTGTGCTGATGGCACGGAGCCTGCTTGGGATTCCCTGTCTCTCCCTCTGACCCTCCCTTGCACGCTCACTCGCTCACTAGCTCTCTCAAGATAAAATAAACTTGAGAAACATCAGATCATATGGTCTAATAATAATTTACTGCAAAATGCAATATGGTTGGTCCACTTATTGGAAGCGTTAGAACTATTATTTTTAAGGTAGAGATAAGCTTTAGGCTAAACTCATTCAGTGCTGAGCTCAAGGTGTCTCATGGCCAATTTCTGTATTATTTCCAAAAAGTTTGTGTTTTGGTCTCAAAAAAACGCTTCAGCCCCTTGATATCAGAATTTTCTCAAATGTAGACAAAAATAAGGAATTATAGTCTCTTAATAAGATTTTTATTTTATTTTTAAGTAGGCTCCACACCCAACGTGTGGCTCAAACTCAAGACCCAAGATCAAGAGTCTCACGCTCTACCGTCTGAGACAGCCAGATGTCTGGGTTCAGTTTTGGCTTTTCCATTCAGTAATACCATAACCCTGGACAAGTCATTTAATGTCTCTATGTCTCAGTTTCTCCATCTGTAAAATGGAAAGAATCACAGTATCTCCCACATACTGTTCTTATGAAGACTTAGTGAGATGATCCATGTAAATTACTTAGCACACAGGAAAGGGTCAATTAATGTTACTATTACTTGCATATTTTTCAGAAGCATGACACTGAATGAAAAATAATAACAGGAAGCTGTTCTGAAAAATGCTGAGCATGTTCCCATGTCTGAAGTTCTAACATGCTCATCACTGTTGTGCCCAGACTCTGTCATTCAATGTAGCCGAGGGCTTACGGAACTAGACGGACGTCCTATCTGAGTCACTAACTAAAGTCTGGGCTGTAAATACTAAAACAAGGATCAAATGCATCCATCTGAGGAGGCTACCGTGACTGCTGTCATGGACAGTGGGGAACTGGATGGTGTATAGAGCCTGCTTGCACAGGATCGGTAAGTGCTGATTTTTTCCAATATGGCTCAGTTTTGAAAAGCCCTTTTTTCAAAAATAATCACCAATCTTTTGTACCCTCTTGGGGTATCAAAATTACTTTTTTTCTTTTCCAATAAGCAAAACCGTGCCATAAAGTGAAAAAACAGTTCCTACCTGACCCTCTCTAGGCTGGCTCCATGCTCCAGTGGGCTCTGTGGTGGTCGAGCCAGACTACAGCAGACTCCACAGCGTGTTGTCACTCTGAGCAGGAGCCAGCGACCCATGACTTCAAAGGACCTGAAATGGGAAAAAAAAAAGCTGGGTTTAAAATCAGCAATATGCTGACTGCCTCTGCCACAGCTGTTTAGGGCATCTGTCTTTAGAGCTCATTCCAAACCCTGAATGCCATCCACCGTGCATGGCTGTGAAAGGAGGTAACTTCGAGGCAGTAAGTGAAAGATATTATAATTAAGACAGTACGTTATTATGCGTACTGCTCTACTTAGGAACATAAAAATGTTATACAATATCGTCTACCCCATACTTATGCCACCTCTGTAAATTATGGAAGGCCACGCTAGCTAAATAAATCAGTAATTGGGAAACTGAGACACAAAGCAGCCAAATGATCAGTCTGAGCCAATCTAGTCACAAAGCCAGGACAAGAACTCAACCAGTCTAATACCCAAACAGTAATCTGATGAAGGCAGATTCACCTCTTTATGACTGGGGAAAAGAAAAAAAAAATCACTGAAAGCCTAGAAATAAATTACAATGTATTTCTTAAAAGCCTGGGGGGGTGGGGGTGGGAGGCACTTTTGTTTTTAGCTTAAAAAATAAAAATATTTTAAAGTAATGTATTCTGACTTTGAAAAATGAAATTTTTAGAAATTAGCTATGATGGATCAATTACCATGATACACAGACAGTATTGTACTTAATCATTAAGTTTAAGAACATGTTTAATAACTGTTATTCAAATAAAAACCTCCCTGTTGGATTTCATAAATTGAATTCCTATTCGGTATTTTTATAGTTTGTATGTTCTAAAAGATGAATTTTTTATTAAGTTATTCATTTTTCCTCATATCCAAAGTTTACTAAATGGAAAAAAATATGCAGATTTTTATTAGTCATCCTCTGTAACAAACTATGCATTATTTAACTTTTCTTCAATTACCAAACAGTGTTCTTGTGACATATGCAGACAGAATAAAGGTAGCATCATCACATGTGCTCAGGGCAGGTCACAGATGACTTAATCAGGGGCTCCTATGTCTGGTACGAACGCTGTGTTAAAAGCACATGAGGAGCCTCAGTGGCTCAGATGATTAACTGTCCAAGTCTTGGTTTTGGCTCAGGTCAGGATCTTGCAGTTTCATGAGTTCAAGCCCCATGTCAGACTGCGCTGACAGCATGGAGCCTACTTGGGATCCTCTCTCCGTCTCCCCCTTCCTGTCTCTGTCTCTCTCGAAATAAGTAAATAAACAAAAAAAGCATATGATCTAGAGGAAGTATTCACCTTATGGTAAAAGAAG